AAAACATACTCTGTGATTTCAGTTCTTCGAAATTGATTACACCTTGCTTTATGACCAGTATTTGATCTGTCTTGGAAAATGTTTTACGTGTCTGAAAGGAATGTGTGTTGTGCAGTTGTTTGGGTGCATTTTTCTGCGTATTTCCCATGGATCCGTTGGGTAGTTGTTGTTCACATCGTCTGTATTCTCACTTAGTGTTTTTGGCTGCTTGTTCTGTTTACGGAAAGATTGTTAGTGACCTCTGATTGTGGCTCATCTATTTCCCCTTTTTAATTCTGTCCATTGTTACTTCACTTCGCAGCTTTGTTATTAGGTGCATACACACATTAAGATTGCTTTGTTTTCCTGTTGAATTGTTTCTTTTACCATTGTGACATGTCTCTGTAGTGATACTTCTTCCTGAAAATAAGTGCTTTCTCTGCCCTCAGTGTGACCACCGCAGCTTTTTGTTGGTTTAGTGTTTGCGTGGTTTTTTCCCATTCGTTTAACCATTCTAGATTCCTATATTTGAAGTGTATTTTCTGTAAATGGCACATGTTTAGATCTTGTTTTTTGAGGCGGAGTCTCTGGAGTGCGATGGCGTAATCTCCACTCACTGCAGCCTCCGCCTCCCTGGTTCAAGCAATTCTTCCACCTCAGCCTCCCAAGTAGCTGTGGTTACAGGCGCCTGCCACCATGCCCAGCTAATTTTTGTATTTTTAGGAGCGATGGCGTTTCACCATGTTGGCCAGGCTGCTCTCAATCTCTAGACCTCAAGTGACCTGCCCACCTCGGCCTCCCAATGTGCTGGGATTACAGGCGTGAGCCACTGCACCTGGCCTGTTCTTTGTTTTTTAATTTTTTTATATCTTCTTTTGGATTAAATAGCTTTATTTTGTCCTCCTGTTTCAGCTTATAAGTTTTAGTTTTAGTGCTTATCCTAGAGGTTACGATATGAATTATTGACTTATCACAGTCTACTTTTTTTTTGAGGTGGAGTCTTGCTCTGTTGCCCAGGCTAGAGTGCAGTGGTGTGATATCGACTCACTGCAGCCTCCGCCTCCTGGGCTCAAGCGATTCTCCTGCCTCAGCCTCCCAAGTATCTGGGACTACAGGCACATGCCACTATCCCCAGCTAATTTTTGTGTTTTTAGTAGAGATGAGGTTTCACCGTGTTGGCCATGCTGATCTTGAACTCCTGACCTCCAGTGACCTCAGCCTCCCAAAGTGCTGACATTACAGGTGTGAGCCACCACACCGGGCCTCACAGCTTTAAATAAGTACATTCTATTTCCTCTACAATGCATGAAACAGTTTAATTCGGTTTACCTGTCCCCTGACTTTTGTGCTATTATTAATTCTACATATCGGCTGGGCGCGGTGACTCACGCCTGTAATCCCAACACTTTGGGAGGCCGAGGTGGGCAGACTGCCTGAGGTCAGGAGTTTGAGACCATCCTGGCCAACATGGTGAAACCCTGTCTCTACTAAAAATACAAAAATTAGCCGGTCGTGGTGGCGGGTGCCTGTAGTCCCAGCTACTCGGGAGGCTGAGGCAGGAGAATGGCGTGAACCCGGGAGGCGGAGCTTGCAGTGAGCCGAGATCACACCACTGAACTCCAGCCTGGGCAACAGAGCAAGACTCCATCTCAAAAAAAAAAAAAAAAAATTCTACATACCACAAGATTATAACGTTGTTGTTTTAAACAGTGAACGTTCTTTGTATTTATCCACATATTTCCTCCAACTTCCGTTTGGGATCGTTTCCTTCAGCCCAAAGAACTTCCTTTGTAATAGCCCTCGTGCTTTCTTTCTGTATTTCTTTGTCTGAAAAATGGATTTTTGCTTTCATTCTTTAAAGAATATTTTCACGGGCATATTTTTCTAGGTTTGCAGGGTTTTCTTGTTTCAGCACTTGAACAGTTTCATTCCATTGCTTTTGGGCTGTCGTCGTTTCTGTTAAGAAGTCAGAGGACGGTCTTACTGTTTCCTTTGAAGTCATTGTGCACTTTTTCTCTGCTAAGATTTGTTTCCTTTCCCTTCCTTTTATTTTATTTTATTTTTTACCAGTTTGACGCTGATGTGCCTGTGTACACATCTTTGTGTGTGCTTGTGTTTATTCTGCGTTTCCTGGCTCTGTGGGTTGGCACTGTTTCTTTGAAGTCATTGTGCACTTTTTTCTCTGCAAGATTTGTTTCCTTCCCCTTCCTTTATTTTATTTTATTTTACCAGTTTGACGCTGATGTGCTGCTGTGTGCCACATCTTTGTGTGTGCTGGAAGTTTATTCTGCGTCTCCTGGCTCTGATGCTGGTCGTGCACACATCTTTTTGTGTGTGCTGTGTTTATCCTGAGCTTTCCTGGTTCTGTGGTTGGTATCAGTCACAAATGCGGCACACATCTTTGTGTATGCTGCAAAAAGCTATCCTGAGCTCTGGCTCTGTGGGTTATTACTAAATGGGCACACAGTTGGCCACGCCACAGCAGGGCTACAGGCTGGCTGCTGTATTACTTGTGTGTGCTTGTATTTCATCCTTGAGTTTCCTGGCTCTGGGGATGGGCATCAGCCTATGTGGTACACATCTCTTGTGTATGCTTGTGCTTATCCTGGGAGTTTGCCTGTGGGGTTGGAAGGTCAGTCGGCACACACACACATCTCTTTTGTGTGTGCTTGTGTTTATCCCAGTTTCCTGGTCATGTGGGCTGGCAGATCAGTCGTGCACACATCTTTGTGTGCTGCATTTATCCTGAGCTTCCTGGCTCTGTGGGCTACAATGTGCACACACATCTCCCCCAGAAGTGTTTATCCTGAGCTTTTGGCTCTGTGGTTGGCAAGGATGTGGTACATCTTTGGTGTGCTGTGGCTTACTGCTTGTGTTTATCCTGAGTTTCCTGGCTCTGTGGGTTGGTATCAGTCATCAGTTTTGAAGAACTGTTGGCTATTATCTCTTCAGATTTTGTGCTGCCTCATTCTTTCCTTTTTCTGTGACTCATTTACACGTATCTTAGAGGTTGCTTAACTGTCTTATCCTAAACTGTGTTCTTTCTTTTTAGACTTTCGTTTTGGTCTTCTAAACATTGGTTTCCTTTTGATTCCACTAATTCTGCTTTGTGCTGTGCTCAGGCTGCTGGTGAAAAAGCTGTTTGGTGGGTCCGTTCGGGTATTGTATTTTCCAATCCTGGAAGGTGCTTGAGATTCTTCTATAAATTTCAAGTCTCTGCAGAGACCCTCCGGCTTTTTGTCCATTTCCTTAGCGTGTTAATCCTAGTTAGACTGAAGCCTTGGTCTGCTGATTGTTCACGTGTGTACACCTGTTTTGTTGTCTGATGTTTTCTTATTTTGTTTCTTTGAGACGGAGTCTCGCTCTTGTCGCCCAGGCTGGAGTGCAGTGGCACAATCTTGGCTCACTGTAACCTCCGCCTCCCAGGTTCAAGCAGTTCTCCTGCCTCAGCCTCCTGAGTAACTAATTTACAGGCGTCCACCACCACGCCCGGCTAATTTTTGTATTTTTAGTAGAGATGGGGTTTCGTCATGTTTGCCAGGCTGGTCTCGAACTCCTGACCTCAGGTGATCGCCCGCCTCAGCCTCCCAGAGTGCTGGGATCACAGGCGTGAGCCACCGTGCCCGGCCTTGTTTTCTTGTTTTATTCTGAGACAGGGTCTTGCTCTGTTGCCGAGGCTGGAGTGCAGTGGCGCAATCATGGCTCATTGCACCTCGACCTCCTGGGCTGTCTCACCTTAGCCTCATCCCACCTTAGCTGGGACTACAGACGTGCCACCGTGCCCGGCTACTTTTGAAATTTTTTGTAGAGATGGAGTGTGCTGGTCTCAAACTCTGGCCTCAACCGATCCTCCCACCTCAGCCTCCCAAAGTGCTGGGATCAGGCCTGAGTCCTCACATCCGGTTAATGTTTTTCTCCCGTGTTTCGCCCTTCACGTGAGGGTGGGTGATGAGGTAGGCCATGGGAGACGGTCTGCTCTTTTCTTGGAGACCACCTCGGTCCACACAGGGCTCAGGGGTTGCCTGTGGAGACGGAGCGGGGTGGCTGTGGTGTCTGCCCGTTGTCCTCATGGGAGCCGTGGGCCCCCGCTTGGTGGGGCACAGCAGCAACCTGGAGCTAGTTACCGCGTCAGCTCCCGGCCGTGGAGACTCTCCCGTGTGGAGCTGTTTTCCCCAGTGCGTTTTTCACTTTTCTTCCTGTGCGCTGATTTTGTTTTTTATTTGTTGGTTTGCTTTGCTTGGGTTCCTGTGCCTCTTTCCTGGATAATCGAGAGGTGCTGGCACTTGAGCCAGACCTGGCCCTGAGCTCTCCCTGCTTTGTCCCCAGTCACGTCCCTCCCCACAGCTGGAGGCTGCGTCCCTCCCTTTGCTGAAAGCCAATTGCATCTGAGGTCATGGACTTTTCCTCCCCTCTATGGGCACATCTGCCACCGGCACCAGCTGCTGGGGCGGGACGTCTCCCCAGCGGTGATGCACCTTCTGGCCATGGCTCGTGAGGTCCTGGGGTTAGAGCGCAGCAGTGTCTGTGGGGGCCACCGCTTGTCCATGGGACCCAAGTCTCAGTCTCCTGGCCACTCCCTCAGGCCTCTGCGTTTCAGTGGCTGTTGTAGCTGTGCAGCCCGAAGCCAGCCTCACCTCCCTGGGCCCGCTGCTCACAACCCGGTCTGCAGAGCCCTTGCTCGGATTCCCCTGCCCCGGTCTAGGCGCCACAGCTTCCTCTGAGCCCGTGGCTGGATCGGGCGCCCCTGCTGGCCGCCCACGGCTCCCTGCGCGCAGTCGCTGGGACTCAGGCCTGTGTCCGGCGCCCAGAGCCTGCTCTGGACCCACTGGGTAGTTGAGTCGAGCACAGCAGCACCCAGCCCAGGAGGAGCACAGCGATGGCGGCCCAGGGCTTGGGAAAGGGAGGGCCGGGACAGTGCCCCCTCCCTGTCACAGGGGCTGAGCCGGCGGCTCCGCGTGTCCTGGCGTGTGTGGGTGCACATTGGGTGCCTGCAACGTGACCTTTGCCCTCTGCTTGTGCAGTCTACGAGAATGAAGACCAGCTGCTCTGGGACCCCAGCGTCCTCCCCGAGAGGGAGGTGGAGGAGTTCCTGTACAGGGCGGTGAAGCGGCGTTGGCAGGAGATGGCTGGGCCTCAGCTCCCGGAGGGAGAAGCCGTGAAAGACAGTGAGCAGGTGGGGGCTGCCGTGCCGGGGACCGAGGGGCTGAGGGCTGCAGCGGCGTGGGCCAGAGCTCACACCCCAGTGCCTCCAGGGGCCAGGCAGGGCAGAAGGGAGGGCAGGGGTCAGGTGTGCGGAGGCCTGGGCACTGGAACAGCTACTCAGGTTGGGAGGGGACCAATTAAAACCACGTATCGGGGAGGAGGTGTAGACGCCTCCGGGTATCTCTGCGGGGGATGGGGGTGTAGACACCCCTGATGTCACTCCCTGGATAGAGGTGTCGGTGGACTGACAGTGCTCAGGAGGGTGGTGTGGACGCCCCTGATGCCACTCCCTGGATAGAGGTGTCGGTGGCCCTGACAGTGCTCAGGAGGGTGGTGTGGACGCCCCTGATGCCACTGCCTGGATGGTACAGACGGTGCTTGCTGTCGGCTCCTGGGCTGCGCTCATGGGAGGAACCACCACATCTCTCCCCAGGCGCTGTACGAGTTGGTGAAATGCAACTTCAATGTGGAGGAGGCCCTGCGAAGGCTGCGGTTCAACGTGAAGGTGGTCCGAGGTGAGCAGGGCCTGGGCCCTTCTTCTGCGGCGGCCCCACCCTGGGCACTGCTGACCCGTCTCCCCGGCCGTTTTTGCAGATGGGCTCTGTGCTTGGAGTGAAGAGGAGTGCAGGAACTTTGAGCACGGCTTCCGTGTGCACGGAAAGAACTTTCACCTGATCCAGGCCAACAAGGTGCGGACTCCGCTGCCCTCCTCCTGCCAGGCTTCACCAGGGGCTTCTTGATCTGGCGAGGGGCTCAGGGTCAGAGGCACACAGCACACGGCCGACTGGAGGCCTCGTGTCCCGTGTCCGCCTCCTCACCGCACGCCCATTGCTGTCTTCTGTAGTTTCCTCTACTGCCTTCTTTGGGCCCCTTTCCTGTCCCCGCAAGAACAAGGCTCTGGTTTTGGGAAAGAATGTGCCAAAAGCTGAACTCAGTAGTTCCTGCCTCACATTCCACCCTGGGGCCTTGGGCACCTCATCTTCATGTCTATGTTCTCTGAGCAGAGCCTGCTGTCTCAGTGTCCAGCACTGACCCCACAGCAGAACCCCTGACACCTGGGGACCAGGGGTCTCCTGTTCCCTCCTCCAGGGACCCAGGTCCTTCTGCCACCCGGGACAAACCCTCACAGCAGGCAGGTGCTGCCGAGTGCCGGGGCCTTCTGCCCCCCCTTAGACCTTCCCCACATCCTCTGGGTCTCTGCGTGTCTGCAGCAGTGCCCTCTGCCCTGTGGCTTCTTGAGCGATAACTTGCAAGCCAGCCTCTTGGCAGTCAGACATCTGAGGCGGAAAACCTTCCCATGGCTCTGAGCAGTGGCTTCTCCGCCTCTGTCCACGCCCCGCTTGGGCACTGAGCCCCTTCAGGACCAGTGGGCTGTGGCCTTCTCGTTGCCGAGCCTTGCTTCTGCCTTGTGTCCTGCGGCCATGCTCCATTTGGGGCCCGATGTCTTCCACTGAAGGGCTGGAGTGAGGAGGTGCCTGCCCAGGGCTGGTGGCACGGCCCAGGACGTTGCTCGAGTGACTGCGTGGTGCCGTGCACAGGAGCCGTGGACTGTCTTTGTCAGACTCCAGCACCACGTGGTGTTTTGATTGGAGACAGCTGGGGGAGGTGTGGCCGGAGTGTGGTGCTCCCGGGCTGCACTCGGAGCCCCTGTCAGTTTCTATATTTCCAGGCCGTGTTTCTGGAGCTCCGGGCTGTGTTTCTGGAGCTCTGGGCTGTGTTTCTGTATCTCCGGGCCGTGTTTCTGGAGCTGCGGGCAGGTCCTGGCCCAGCCATGAGGGGCTGTGTGTAGCCAGCACATGTTGGTCAGCCTGTTCTCTGGAACGGGACAGGGAGCCAGTGCGTATTTCAGGCTGGCCCTTCGCAGAACAGCTCCCTCCTGACGTGCATTTGAGGTTTGCCCCCCAGAGAGGTTGTCTCGGTCTCACCCCCAGGCAGGACCCCACGTTGTTCTTGCAGCGGTGAGCACGGGGCATCCTCGTTCTGGGTGGCCGTGGGTTGGTTGGCCCAGAGCGTGTCCAGGTGAGGGGGGCTTTTCTGCCATCACCAGCGGTGGCCACAGCCTCAGGCTCACCGGGGGATGAGCCTCCTGGGTGGAGACGCTGGAGGTGTGGCCAGGTGTGCGCCAGCTCTGTACCACCTGCCATGCAGAGTGCACTCGCTGTGTGTTCCTTCTCGTCTCCCTGAAGCCTTATGTGCGTGTGTTTTTGGCCTTTATGTGTTACGTTGTGAATTTTGAGTCTGGGGTTCACAGAACCCATGTGTCCCTCTGTGGTGTCTTGTGTGCACTTGGGAAGCATTTGCTGGGCCTGGAGGGATGTGGTCAGCGGGAAAGCAGGCGCTGCGGGCTTGTGCCTCTTCCTCCTGGGGCCGGGGCTCTGTCCAGGAGTCTGTGGCCCCGGGGGCTGTCACTGCCACTGCCACTGCCACCCTGGCCTGTGAGAAGCAGGCGGATGAGGTGGACGTGACCGGCCTGGGGCTCATGGTCTGGGACAGGGTGGGCGAGCAGTAGACAGGGCCTGGAGGGTCCGTTGGTGTGGCTGATGCTACAGAAGGGAAAGAGGGGTCTCAGGCCAGGAGCTGGGGGGTTCTGAGGGGGCTTGAACAGGAGGCAGTGCCACGGTGCTCCAAGCCCCCGCTCCCCGTGGTGGGCGTAGCCTGTGGGCCTGAGTAGGGTCATGGGTCGGGGGTCTTGCGTTATCTGAGAGTGGTGGGTGCTGTGCTCCTTCTGTGCTGTCCCAGAGTCCCAGGAGTCGTCCTGGGATGGTGGGGCAGGGGCAGGGGCTGGGCAGCGGGGGACAGATGGCGCCTGACCCCTCCCCACAGGTGCGCACACGGTCCGTGGGTGAGTGTGTTGAGTACTACTACCTGTGGAAGAAGTCGGAGCGCTATGACTACTTCGCCCAGCAGACACGGCTGGGCCGGAGGAAGTACGTCCCATCCGGAACCACGTGCGTGCAGTGCTTCCCGGCAGTAACGATGGGCGGACACCCCGCCGGGGGTGGGCACGCGGGCGCCTGGGCAGCACCTCCTGGGTGGGGGCGTCCATCCTCTCCGCTGCCCCTCATGGTGCCCTCTCCCCACAGGGACACAGACCAGGACCTGGATGGCAGCGACCCCGATGGCCCCGGCCGTCCGCGCCCGGAGCAGGACACCCTGACTGGGATGCGCACAGGTGAGGCGTGGGGAGTGTCTCCTGCCCTGGGGGCGGCCGTGGGTCTGGAGCCTGTGAGTGAGGCCAGGTGGAGCCTCTCCTCGCTGGTGCCCTGTGCTGGGCCAGCCGTCCCCAGGAGTGGGCGTCTGGGTGGTGGAGGGCCAGCCAGGTGATGTGGGTGCCACTCGGCACTCCTCGCTGGCAGAAGGGAGGGCAGGGATTGCGCGTACCCTGTGGGCTTGCTGGAGGGGTGCCTGTGGCCCCACCCCTGGGGCGCCCCGCATGCTGAGGTTGGGGTACATATCAGGCCTTCGTCTCCTGGGAGGGCCTGCCTGCCCCAGGGTGGGGACTTAGCCCCAGCCATCAGGACACTCAGGAAGGGCAGGGTGTCCGGAGCCGTCGCCAGCATCTTGCACCTGAGGCCGTGACGAGCACACGAGGGCCTCGGGCGGGATTTCCCGGTGTGTGTGATGCCGTCACGGGAGGGTCCTTTGCTGCTGGCTCTGTGTGTAGGTGGTTGAGGCTGGGAGGGTCGCCCCGTTTCCAGAATCTGGTTGTCTCCGTGGTTGGTTTGCTCAAGGGTGTCCACCTCTGCTGCTTCCTGGAACTGTGGTGAGGCCCTGTGCACTGCGTGTGGGAACGACTTCCCCAGACCCTGTGTCGACCCTCGCAGTGCCCCAGGCCTTGCTCACGCCCTTGTCTCTTGTGCTCTGGTGTTAAGGATGTTGGCTGTGACCCACTCAGTTGAAACCTTCTAAAACTGGGGTCTTTAACCTGGGGGCTCACAGATTTCTGAGTAACTGGTTTCTTCTGTATTTGTGCGGAGGCTTTTTTGGGGAGCGATCCACAGGCTTTGCTGGACCCAGCAGGGTTGGCAGGAGCTGGCACGGGAGTGGCGTGGCTGCAGCCTGGTGCCTGTGGGCGGCCCCACCCTCTGTTGCATTCTCTTTCACAGACCCACTGAGTGTGGATGGCACGGCCGGTGGTCTCGGTGAGCCTGGAGTGGCCTCTGATGGCCTCCCGTCCTCGGAGCCAGGGCCCTGTTCCTTCCAGCAGCTGGACGAGCCCCCCGCTGGACCCCCGTCCCGTCAGCCTCCAGCCCTGGCCGACCCAGCCTCGTACCCGCCGGCTGTCATCGCTCCGGAGGCAGACGCCAGCCCAAGGCTGGCTGTGGACTTCGCCCTGCCCGAGGAGCTGCCTCTCATCTCCAGCCGTGTGGACCTGAGCGGGGACCCGGAGGGGACAGTGGCCCCTGCGCAGGTGGCTTTGTCGGTCACCGAGTTTGGACTCATTGGCATTGGGGACGTGAACCCCTTCCTGGCCGCCCACGCCACGTGCCCGGCCCCCGGGCTACACTCGGAGCCCCTGTCACAGTGAGTGCCACCCCGTGCCCGGAGCTTCCCCGACACTCCAGTGAGGTCCCCCCAGCCCTCAGGCTGCGCTGAGGAGAGTGGGAGGCGTTTGCCCCAAGGACAGTGCAGCTCCACGGGCGGCTCTCGGGGCTGCTTTAGGGTTATTCTTTACTTGTATGTGTTTTCTGACTGGAGAATACATTCGTGTGGTCCACATGCTGCACAAATGGGGGCAGGTGCCAGGCTCTCCCACCCCTGCTCCAGCCACCAGCCCCCCAGAGCACCCGGGCCCTGCTGCTGTAGGTTATCGGGGAGGCAAGGCTGGGAGTCTCGAGTCCAGCGCTCAGCACTGGGCTGTGCAGGCACGTGGGGCCACACTGACACTCCACGCCTCTCTCGGTCTCTTCCCTGCAGCTGTAACGTGATGACCTGCTGACTCCTGGCCGCGGGCGGCGTATGCGGCCCAGACTGGACTTGGCACTGCCGCTGGGCCCGCCTCTGTCAGTCTTCCTGACCCCTTCCCCCACCCTGGGCCTTGGGGTGGCACCTCCTCTGCTTCTGAACACGTCAGGACTGGTGTGAGGTGGCTGGGCCATGCGCCCTTGCCCCGGCCATGCAGACTGGACCCAGAGCCACACCCAACGCCGTCAGCGCCCGGCACTGCCACCCGGGTCCAGGCTGCTGCCTGCACGTGGGATCCGTCAGGCAGCCGTGGACAGAAAAGACCCGGCCTTTGGGACGCAGGGCAGAGCCGGCCACCTGGTCCCTTCCAGCCAGCAGAGGCGAGGGAAGGTGTCACTGCCCCGGCGGGGAGACGGGCAGGACGCCCCGCCCCGCACCAGCAGCCTCCGCTGGGCGCCCTCTGCTCCCTGCTTGGCTCTGTCTCTCCACACCTGGCAGGGCCACGGGCTGCCCCAGCCCTGGGGGTCGTGGGCAGCTGCTACTCAGTGCCAACCCCGTGGGGCACAGAGCCATATACCTCGCTGTCCGGCCCCCAGCCCGGCCTCCCCTCCCACCCCATCGTCTCCACTTCAGGAAAAGCCGCACTTTACACCCCCACCTGCCTCTTCCCCTCCATCCCTGCTTCCCCATCCTGAGCGGTTGGGGTGGGGGCCCCTCAGCAACCCCAGGCGTGGGTTTGAGGAGACAGGTGACTTACACCCCCTTTGCTGTCCTCCCCTGGTACCAAGGCAGGGAGCCTCGAGAGGAGCTGGCCCTGCCGGCCATGCAGGGCCCAGACTCCAGCCTGTTCCCCCAGCCCTGCAGGTCTTCCTTCTGTGGGAAGCTTCCCAGCAAGATGGCTTGGAGTCCTGGTCCCTCTTCCCCGGCCCCTTGTCCGTTTCTGTTTCTGTTTACACGTTGGCGTGGGGTCCTCCGTGGGCCGCGGCGCGCCCTGCCCCGGGCGTCGTCCAGCCTCCTGTGCTCGAGCCCCTTTCCGAGTTGGACTCGACCATCCCTCACCCCACCAAGGACCACACTGTGAAGTGATAACTGCCTTGAACCCCCCCTTGCTGTTTTATTTATTAAACTTGATTTGAAGCCCGGGGTGCCTTGTGGTGGGTTGGGTGGGGGCTAGGGGCGGCAGGTGTCCCTGTCCTCTCACTTGGGGGCCTGCATGTCTGTTGGAGGATCGGGATAAGTCGTGAGCCACAGAGGCGAGGGGGTGCAGTGGGGGCATGACGTGGTGGGCCACATATCCATGTCAGTGAGGGAACTGTGGCCATGACGACGGGATGTGAGGAGGGCCCACGTCTGGGTAGAGGTGGTCGGCGCTGCCTCCTAGAAGTGACAGTTAAGCTGGAACCTGAAGGAGAATGGGCCTGCTTTGCTGGAAGTTTGCAGAGTCCTGGCAGGCGTGACAGCCGATGCAGAGGACAGAGGCCTGGGTCTACAGGAGAAGCTGAGGGCACAGAGGGCAGCGGCTGGGCGGGGTGGGGACAGTAGGTCGTGAGGCTGAGATTTGTTCTTGGTGTGGAAGCCGCTTGAGGTCTACGTTGTGTTTTTTCTTTTTTTCTTTTTTTTTCAGACGGAGTCTTACACTCGCCAGGCTGGAGTGCAGTGGTGCCATCTTGGTTCACTGCAGCCTCTGCCTCCCGAGTTCAAGTGATGCTCCTGCCTCAGCCGCCCGAGTGGCTGGGACTACAGGAACCTGCCACCACGCCCGGCTACTTTTTGTATTTTTTTGTGGAGACAAGGTTTCCCCATGTTGGCCAGGATGGTCTCAATCTCTCGACCTCGTGATCCGCCCGCCTCGGCCTCCCAAAGTGCTGGGATTACAGGCGTGAGCCTCCGCGCCCGGCCAAGGTCTGCATTGTTAATAGTGCCCTGCAGGGACCGTGCAGGCTGGCCGGGTTGCATAGTGTCCACATCGATGAGGGAAATGTGGGCACGCATGGCGATGGGATGTGAGGCGGGCCGGCCCCCGCTGGGAGGTGCCTGGCTTGGCCTGAGGGACTGTAGCTGAGGAAGATGGACCAGGAACACCTGCACGATGGGAGTGGGAGAGTCAGGGGTCTTGCTAGTGAGCCAGTGCCAGGAGCTGTGAGAACCAGGGCCAGCCCCTGGGCAGCCTGGGCGTTTGGGGATGGGCTGTGGAGCAGTTTTCATGGGAGCGCCGCAGCCTGCTGACGTGTTCTTCAGACGTGCAAGGCGTTCCGTCTCCGGCTTGCCCAGCCTCCAGCAGGAAATCGTCAGTCCTCTCGGTTTTTCCTCCAACTGCTTTGAAGAGTTTTCACTGCCCCCGGTTTTGAGCAGTTTGATGAGGACATGCTTCGGTGTCCTGAGCGGTCTGACGAGGACACGTTTTATGTACACGTACGCTACGTAACAGCCTTTGAGACTGGCTGCTTTTGTATTCACGGAAGGCTTCGCCATGTGTTTCGGTTTCTTTTTAGCGCTGAGTGGAACTCCACGCTGGGCGTGGGCTGCATCTCGTTTATCTGCATCCCTATTGAAGGACGTCTTAGTAGCGTGCGTGCTCTGGCAGTTATGCATCAAGCTGCCCTTGTGCAGGTTTTCGTTTTGACACAACTTTTCGGCTCCTTTGGGTGAATAAAGAAGCCCGATTGCCGGACCGTATGATAAGAGCACGTTTAGTGAGAAACTGCCCAACTGTCCTCCCGCGGCCCTGCCGTGTCACACCCACCAGCAACGAGGGAGCTCCCGAGGCCCGTGTCCTCCCCCGTGTTTGGTGGTGTCAGTGTTTGCGTTTGGCTGTTCGAATCGGTGTGTAGTGGGATCTTGTTTTCCATCGCCTTTGAAGATGTGTGTAGTTCTGTACCTTTCTGGTGCTCTTAAGTTCTTCGTTCCGACTCCATGTTGCCAAGAGGATGATTGTCTTTGAGTCTGAAGTGCCGTATTTAACTTGTGTTGTCTTGTAGATTCTCTGCGGTGACATTCGCTTGCGCTTAGCTCTTCCATGGATCAAAAGGCCCTAATTCCTCCTCCTTTTCCGAAGTGCATTTTTACAGGATATAGAATTCTGAGTGGACTGCGTTTTTCTTTGGGCCTGTTAAAGTTGTCCTCTTCACGCCTGCTTTCTATTGTTTCTGATGAGGGATTTTCTCATTCTTCTGTTTTCCTTAATATGAAATCTCTTACCTCTGACTATATAAATAGTTTTCTTTTGTTTTTGGACTTTGGCCGTTTGTGTTGTACCTGGGTCTGGTTCTCTAAACTGAGCTACTTCGACCTGAGGGTGGGTGCATTGTAACAGATTTTGAAGTCTTGATTGTTATTTCTGCAAATATTTGTTTTCTTTTTCTTTCTTAGAGTCCATTTCTGGAAGAGTCTTTCTCAATTTTTTTCTGATGTCCCACTCTGTCTTTTGGGTTTCTGGTACACGTACCACGTCCTGGGTGTTGTCCCACAGGTCCCTCCAGTCACTGGTGTCTTTTCTGATGTCCCACTCTGTCTTTTGGGTTTCTTAGTACACCCATCACGCCCTGGGTGTTGTCCCACAGGTCCTCCAGTCACTGGTGCTCACGGCCAGGGGTGACCCACAGGTCCCCTCCAGTCACTGGTGTCCCGGCCGTGGGTGTCCCACAGGTCCCTCCAGTCATGTGTCCCGCCGTGGTGTCCCACAGGTCCCTCCAGTCACTGGTGTCCCTGTGCCGTGGTGTCCCACAGGTCCCTCCAGTCATGTGTCCCGCCGTAATCCTCCCACAGGTCCCTCCATCACTGGTGTCACCGCCATAGGTGACCCACAGGTCCTCCAGTCACTGGTGTCCCGGCCGGTGGGGGTCCCACAGGTCCCTCCAGTCACTGGTGTCCCGGCCGCGGTGACCCACAGGTCCCTCCAGTCACTGGTGTCCCGCCGTGGGGTCCCACAGGTCCCTCCAGTCACTGGTGTCACTGGGCTTACAGGGTGACCCATGAGGTCCCTCCAGTCACTGGTATCCCGCCGTGGTGACCTATGGTGTCCTCCAGTCACTGGTATCCTCGCCGGGTGTCCCACAGGTCTCTCCAGTCACTTGTGTCCCGGCCGGGTGACCCACACAGGTCTCCCAGTCACTGGTGTCACGGCCGTGGGTGACCCACAGGTCCCTCCAGTCACTGGTGTCCCGGCCGTGGGTGTCCCACAGGTCCTCCAGCCACTGGTGTCCCGGCCGTGGGTGTCCCACAGGTCTCTCCAGTCACTGGTGTCCCGGCCGTGGGTGACCCACAGGTCTCTCCAGTCACTGGTGCTCACGCCGGGGTGACCCACAGGTCCCCTCCAGTCACTGGTGTCCCGGCCGTGGGTGTCCCACAGGTCCCTCCAGTCACTGGTGTCCCGGCCGTGGGTGTCCCACAGGTCTCTCTAGTCATGTGGCCACAAATGTTGTCTAGCAGGTCTCTCCAGTCGTGTGTTACTGCCCTGGGTTTTGTCCCACAGGCCTCTCCAGTCACTCATGTTACAACCCTGGGTGTTGCCTCACGGCAATCTCTTTGTTCTCTTTTTTTCTTTCTCTGTACTTCTGTTTGAATAATTTTTTTTTTTTATAATTTTTTGGAGACGGAGTCTTTGTTGCCCAGGCTGGAGTGCAGTGGTGCGATCTCGGCTCACTGCAGCCTCCACCTCCCGGGTTCAAGTGATCCTCCTGCCTCAGCCTCCCGAGTAGCTGGGACTACAGGCGCCCGCCACCAATTTTTGTATTTTTAGTAGAGACGGGGTTTCACCATGTTGGCCAGGCTGATCTCGAACTCTTGACCTCAGGTGATCCACCCGCCTCAACCCCCCCCAAAGTGCTGGGATTACAGGTATGAGCCACTGAGCCCAGCCCTTTTTTTTCTGAGATGGAGTCTTGCTCTGTTGCCCGGGTTGGAATGCAGTGGCGTGATCTCGGTTCACTGCAACCCCTGTCTCCCGAGTTTGAGCGATTCTCCTGCCTCAGCCTCTGGAGTGGCTGGGACTACAGGCGCCCGCCACCACGCCTAGCTAATTTTTGTATTCTTAGTAGAGATGGGCTTTCACCATGTTGGCCAGGGTGGTCTCAAACTCTTGACCTTGTGATCCCCCCGCCTTGGCCTCCCAAAGCGCTGGGATTACAGGTGTCAGCCACTGCGCCTGACCCAGAAGTTATACCCTTAAGACCCAGTCCAGGGATGCCAGGGCCTTCAGAAGCAGGAACCAGGAGTCATCATCCACATTACGATATTTCGGTGCTTCTATTTCTCTGCTGCCCAAACTGACCTTATTCTCAGGGGCAGTGCCCTTTGTGGTGACTGAGATGGCACCAGAAGCTGCAGGCGCACAACCTTGCATGTGTGATTCCTGCGGGAAGCCTGTGTCCTGCTCAGCAGTTCCAGTAAAACTGGTAAAATTTGTTCCTGGGTGTCACGCCCATAACTGAATCAGGAACTGCCGAGCAGAAAGGGTGTCCTGGGCCAGGCGCGGTGGCTCAAGCCTGTAATCCCAGCACTTTGGGAGGCCGAGACGGGTGGATCACGAGGTCAGGAGATTGAGACCATCCTGGCTAACACGGTGAAACCCCGTCTCTACTAAAAATACAAAAAAAAAAAAAATAGCTGGGTGTGGTGGCGGCGCCTGTAGTCCCAGCTACTCGGGAGGCTGAGGCAGGAGAATGGCGTAAACCCAGGAGGCGGAGCTTGCGGTGGGCTGCGATCCGCTGATTGCACTCCCGCCTGGGCTGGAGAGCCGGACCCCCTCTTGAAAAAAAAAAAAAAAAAAAAAAGGGGGTGTCCTGGTTGGCCAGGCCTGGATCCCTTGTTCCCCTTTGGTAGCAGGACAGGCCCCACGGAGGAACAGTAAGAGGGAGGAGGACGTGGGCAGGCCGGGCGCAGACACCCAGAGGCACGAGCCTCCCATTTGTGTGGGGCGAGCACAAAGGTCAGGAGGGCAGTGCAGGCACAACTTCCCTCTTAGGCCACGGAATCTGAACCTGTGGGGAGGCAGTGGGGAGCCACAGTGGTTTTTTTTTTAGCTGAAGTAGATTGGATTGGAATAGCTAAGATGGGCTGGAGCTGGGAGAGACCATGGGTTGCCGTGTGTTGACTAACAATATTCTTCCTTGTCCATGGGGCCTTGCGTTTCTGAGGGTGCACT